AAAAATCAGGATGCTTTAGCTGACATCAAGGACAACGAGTTCAGGTACAGTCAAGGGAGTGCGTACCATCCTGAGGCGCCATTTGATGCGTTTTCAGAGTGAAACCTCCGTTTTCAAATTCCTCCGGCGTAGTGTGGACGAGGCTTGAGGCGTTGTATGATCATAACTTGTTGATTTCGATCTAAAATCGTTCGCTCACACCATCTGCAAACCTTCGGGAAGTTTAATTAACAAATGGAATGTGGTTTCGCGTTGTGTGTACTCTTATCGACAACGATATGGGTCATCACAGTGGTCAAAATGTCACATTCGATTTGCTTTTTACCACAATATCAACGTCAAAGCATACGGTCAAAGAAAATGTTTTTTTCAGTGCGTGACACATTGACGCGAGGAGCATTGTCTGGACTCTTATCGACAACGGCAAATTAGCCAATCAGATTGCTAGATTAGCAATTGTGGTAAAAAAAAAGTGGCTTTTCAGAAACTTAGGCCCAGTTCAGACGTCGTGCTTCTGCCGTGCCGAACATAATTGCAATTTGGTTCGACTATGGCACGGCAGAAAAACAACTCTGATTCAGACGTTGTGCCAGAGTCGAACCAGATTCAAACTTTACTGATGCCTCGTAACAATTCTCTTCCTAGCTCCCCGTGGGAACGCAATCCCGCCAAAATATATTAACATAATTTATGAATTTTGTTTGGCGCGACAGAAGTAAGACGTTCGAATCGCTGCCGTACCATAGTCGTGTAGCACGGCAGAGCTTGTCGAACGCAATTGCTTGCCGATCTTAATTCAAAAGTTTGATTCAGACGCCGTACTTCTGCCGTACTTTTGTCGAACTTAATTCCTGAATTTAGTTCGGCACGGCAGAAGCACGACGTCTAAACTGGGCCTTATTAGTACCACTTCCGGCCAGAATTTAACTTCTGTTTAAAATTCCATTCGTTGAAATATGTTTAAAAGATCCTGTAGGTGCTGTAATTGAACCGTTTTGGTCAGAGATAAATCACTAGAGAAGTTCGGGGAAAACCTGGATTGAATTAATGAAAATCTTAGTCCTAGAGTCTAGCCAATCAAGTCATGTGTCTCCACAGCCAGCTTTTTCTCGTGCCAAGGCCCCGCTGGCTAAGACGGACAGACGGCCCTGGTTACGAAAACGACAGTTGCATACCCCCGTGTCGGGTGGGATTTCGCTGTGTTGCGTTTGAGTGATATTTGCTTTATATTCACGAAGCTACAATTTCTAGCTTTGAACACGATCACCCTGTTTCGCTGGTACGACATTAAGCTTGAAGAGACCTTAAATCGTGTAAGAGTGAATCAGTTTTCTGGGGTCACCGACCAATGAATGATGACAAACTTTACACGAGTCTTTCAGCCAATGCCATCATGGCTAAACTGACCAATCACTTTCAACGGACCAGACTTACAACATCATCGACTGACAAACACTAATCACTTGACTCTGAAGATGACTTCCGCTCAGGTTGATTAAACGTGAGTCACCAACAAAAGTTCTTTTCAGAACTACCCTTACTAGGACGATCACACCATACGAAATACGAACTATTTGATTTTGTATTGAGTTGCTTAGAGTCAGTTTTCAAAAGCGTTTTCACTCTTGAGATTACTTCGCAACTCTTGGGCCTCTGTTACGTTTCAACGAGGCTGATCCGACAGAACAGTAAGTTCTACATGAAGTATAGTCAGTATACGTGTATCAGTTTGTATGCTCATGCAATAACCCTTTGCTATCTTCTCAGACGCCACAGCGAGCTCCGTTCCGAGTCTGATCGCAAAGTGGCGTCATTAGAAGGTCGTCTTGAAGCGACGATCAGAAAATATGAGACGCAGCTGCACAATCTGCAGATGAAGAATGAACGACTGAAGAGCGGTGCAGCAGCAACGGAACAGAGAGATAATGGTAAGGATGCCTTTGTCATGTGAAATTTCCTGCAACATCTTTTCATGTGCGGCTAATGATTGCTAACTTAACGACTTGAACCAATCACTGCTGCCTACATCTCTCCCATCAGGCGCACCACAACCTCTGCTGTCCTCCACAAGCAAGATCCTCCCAGAATATGTCCCCAGAAGGCCCGTGGATCTAAGCGCCAGTAGCGGCTACACGGATACTGAAGCGCTGACCTATGCCGACCTGAACGTGGACCAAGCTCCTTCAGACTCNTCCTCCCAGAATATGTCCCCAGAAGGCCCGTGGATCTAAGCGCCAGTAGCGGCTACACGGATACTGAAGCGCTGAACTATGCCGACCTGAACGTGGACCCGGCCCCTTCAGACTCTGAGGTATGAAGAAGCTGCTAATAGGCCCAATGAATACCATACCTATATCTATGGGTTACTGACCAAGCGTGAGGTCAATGTGGCTGGATATTGGCCAAGTTCTTTTGTTTTCTTTTGTTTTTTTTTCCTTTTTGCGGGAGTTCTTTCTGTTACATTGTGTAAATATCGTGCCAGTTAGTTCCATGTTGTTTTTAGATTATCTTTGTTCATGTTAAATTGCAGCTTGAAGCAATTCTTCTTGGCTACATCCTTGATCTTATTAAGTTTGTTGTTATACACCTGTATGTCTAATGCATTTGTACTTTTTTGTATCTTCACTGAGATAGTGAGTTTTAAAGAGCTTTTGCCTTCTGTTGATGAAGGTATTGATGGCGTTTGATAGCCATAGTTTGTTAATAAGTCTTTCCTTTTACTGTTCTCCCTTAAGCTAAGCTGTAAACTGCAAATTCTTCCTTCAATACTCTTGTCCTACAATTAGGCATATCTAGGTTGGACGCTAACTCGAAAGCCTAACGGTTCATTTGGCCTCCAGTCTCATTCAAACAAGATTATAACAGTTACCTCATCTAAACATAATAAATATAATAAATAAACAAAAAATGTCATAATATTTATGTTTGTATTGAGAAAATAAAGACGTTGTTGTTGTTTTGTGTGTTTATGGTTCGAAACGGAGTCGAAAAAAGAACGAAAGAAAAGAACGAAGCCATTATCCAGTCATCTTGGCCGAACAAGCTCGGTCAATAAGGGATTTATTATATAGGATAATGAACACTAAAAAACTTATCTTGAGGGAACGTTTTCTTGCAGGACATAGAGCGTAATCTCGAGTGGGCAAGATAGCGCCATCTTGCTCGCTCGGGTAGCCAATCACAGCGAAGTATTTGTATAATGAGTAGGGTTTATAGATAGAAATAGTCATTTAGGTTGCTAGGTAAAGCTTCAAATCAATCGTTTTTTGCGCAGTTTGTGCTCTCTTTTTATAGTAAATTGCTTGCGAAAACTGTGCACCTCATTTGTATTTCATTTATTTTTCCTCAGCGGTCCGTCACCCCTGTGGGCGCCAGGCGTTCCTCTATCACGTCGGATTTCTTGGCGGAGGAGAATCGACGAGAGAAGGAACTGGAGAGAATTCTAGACAGAAGAATAGCAGACTTGAAAACTAACACGGAATATATTATACAGAAGTACACGTGACAACTGGAAGAGATTGTATCGCCAGGTAGAAGGACGTGCTAAAATTTGTTACAGAAGAAGAGCAACGGGGCTGTTCATACTACAGTCGAATCTCCGATGATGGACACCTCCCGTAAGCGGACACTTAGTAACGGTCCCAGTCACACACAAACACTTTATTTTAAACCTCCCATAAGTGGACACCCCTCTACAGCGGACACTTTTTCTGGTCCCGAGGGTGTCCGCCTACGGGAGGTTCGACTAGACTACGAGTAGTCCCTCTTTCGCTTCGTCCGTCGAGCGAGATGCGAAAGAAAACTGCGACGAAAAAATGGCCGCGCGAAATCCTGAGGGCGTTGCTCCTCGCACCCAGGATTTCGCGCGGCCATGCA